ATATACATATATATATATATATATACATATATATATATATATATCTGTTTACATATTAAAATATGTTTATATACGGTTGTATATAAATGCACATTATCTTATATTATATAATTGATAAACAATAGGCCTTTATTTAGTTTAGTTACAGTAAATATACATATAGTGTTTATATACCATATATATAAGTTTATATATTATATATATGTATATATGTATATATATCTCGAGAGTGCCTTCATTATTTCGATATAGTATATAGTATGTACAATTTAGTAGGCCTACTCTAAAGCTAAGATGCATCAAAACTTCCAAAGCTTCGTACCTTGCACCATACATGGCAAGACCCTTGCTGTATTATGATAACCTAAACCAAAAGGTTCATATCTATTTCAGGTTGAGTTCCTCTGTATCTCCTTTGTCGTTAAATACTGCACGTTTCTGACTATTTTTATTCGAAATATCCCACAAGACCCGTTATAATCGAATAGATAGGCCTACATCTCAAAAATGTTGAGAGTTCATCTTTTCCGAGCATGATATGAAGAAATGGAGGAGGAGTATACATTGGAAATATGTTTTCTGGTCATTAATCTTTATATATTTATATCACCAGTGTTTCCGGGTATTTTCACTCTGGGCACCGTCATAGTCCTATCTTATATCGTCACTCGTAGGCCTATTATGAACGTTGATAATAAAAATATTGTCGGGAAAGTTACTAAACATTTATAGTAGATATATAGCTTTTATAGGATTTTGAAATCGATTAAATTATAGAAAACATAATTAAATCCCCATTTCTTGGCCACGCTGGGGCCTTATGAAACGCCAGGTGCCCAGAAAAACATCCGGCTCCCCCAGTTTGTAACATGACAGGTTTATTTTAAGCATAAAAATAATATTGCAACCATGGTCAATTATATTCCTATAAACACATAAATGAACAATATCCTGTTATTTTAATATTTAAATTTAACCTTTTATCAAGATCCCCAATTCTTAAATCCGAAATTCGAAAATTTAACATTGAAATCGCTGTCGCGATCGTAGTTTTATGATTGTACGGTACTATCAATGTTGATAGAAAGAGAAAACATTATCACGTAAAACATACTGAACATAGTAGTACAGCAATGTCTCTTTTCGAAGTATTTTTTGAACGATTAAATAAGCTGATGCAATTTCCTCATTGAACCCGACAGTATTCGGCATCTGGTTCACAACCAAAAATGTCGGCTCCCTTCGTCAGTGCCAATGTTTGATGTAAAATGTAAAATTAATTAATGCAAATGATAATAAAAAGAAGACATTTAATTTGATTTACAGTTTTTGGTGTTGCTTAGGTAGAATGAGGGTTAAAACTAATTAGAATATTGCTTATTAAACATTGGATTAGGATGACTTGCAGTACACAGGATTATTTCACTTAGGCTTAGGCCGCGGATAACGGAGATGTTAGATATTATGTATTATGCAATCATTTTACTCTGCCTACGCATAATAAAATCATTTAGCTATGGTAGGCCTTCATGTCAACGTTTACAGCAATTATATAGTCATTATAATAGTTTCGTGATAATAGTGATACATATTTTAAAAATATAATGCTATTTTTAGAAGCTGTTTGAATAAAATGGTAAGACCATGATTGATGATATTATAATATTATTGTTCTTATTATAATTAAAGACCAAGTCAGAATACACATCTGCACGTTTTTTGTACATGGTTTTATTATTATCATTTTTTAAATAGCAGATGGAAGCATTAAACATGTACATATTATTAATACTCTAAAATCGATTAAATAAGCTTTTGAAACCCCTAAATTGTCATATTTTCGGGGAGTAACGTCCTCTGGACCACTTTCGAAAGGTTTTTAGCGACGCCCGACCACGCCCACTTTTTTCTCGTCGGGGACATCAGCCCCCACCCCCCTCCCCCGTCGGTCGGGGACCCTGGACCCCTGTCGGGGAAATCCTGGCGCCGCCACAAAACGTTATAATAATATCTGCGAAGGTTGTGAACGTTGTGATTAGGTTATGGCAAACAATAGGGAGATTTCGTAACCTTTGCGAAAACGATAAAGAATACGAATACGTAATTATCGTAATTTGTGGCTGAAACATTATTGACAATAATATGCTGAACGAGCTGCCAAAGGCATGAATCGCCTACGTTGTGGCAGATACGCTACTGTATGGGAAGTTTGTCTAAAAATGTGATGACGTACTGTATTCGTTATCGTTTTCGTAAGCAGCGTTTGCAAATAATCTTCAAGACGAATATCATGCCATTCATTCCCTAAAGCCCTGTTCAGACTATCAAATACATTTATGTGACATGCCTAAATATGGTCATGATGACATCACAGTCATGATGACCCATGTAAAGGCACAACATGAATATATTATATGGGCATACAACACAGAGCTTTAGATTCGCCAATGACTTACTGTAACTTTTGTGAATACAGTACTTACATTCGCATGTCAGTCAATGGTGGTTGAGAGGAGCCTATTATTAAAAAGTACAGTAGGCCTACACTTAGTCTTTAAAACATATCTATTTGTTAAAGCAACCAATTGAACTAGCTGAAATTATTTCCCAATATATCCAAATGGGATTTATGGTTCAAATATATATTATTTCATCAAATATCTTCTAGAAATACATAATGTTACATGGTATTTTTGGAAAAGAAATAAACAGCTACGTTTGCACCAATATTGTTGAATGTATTTCTCAAGCTAGCTGAACCTTGCTGCGTGTCTGTTTATTGACAATCTATTACAATGAATAACAAATACATGATATGCCTTAAACAAGGGTTTCTTAATTATACACAGTGAGGGTAAACTTACATATCTTAACATAATACAGCTGCATTTTATTAACCAACACACTCGTTTGCTGTCTCTGTCTGCCGGGTTATTAAATACATACAACATTGTAATGAATATTAAAATTGAGCACTTCGTGTCCAAACGGTATACACTAGTCTGTCAAAATATGATGCCGCGATTGAGTTCCATTAAGTACCTAACTTGATAAATAATGAATTGCAATTTGATGTTTTTAACACGTTAACAACATTGTGGTGTTTATTTGGGTTCATCACGTGACCAGACATTCATATACATTAAGCTGTTTTCACAATGTTAGATCAAATGGTATAGACAATATTAATCGCACCAAGTAAGCTGTATCTCCTTGAGTATGTTGTTATAATGATGGAACATCAATATTGTTGGAAGTTTTGGGGTAAATTTGGTACTTTAGTAGTGTTTTAAGACTTAAATTTTTCTAACGTTCAAAATTTAAAAAAATATGTAATATTTCATCCACACAAAACACCACAAACCGTTTCGTTTGTAGAACTAGGCCTATCTATAAAAAAAAAATCAAATCATATTTTCATTTTCGCAGCTTCCCCTGGCTCACTTTCGTTTTCACTGTCCATTTCATCAACGTACCGAATCTTTTCAGAATCTGATCTGATGTCAAAGTACGATGGAAGAGAGGACGGGTCTACATGATTACAATTCATCCTGCGAGTGACTGCGAATTCTAGTTCACTCGGGCTAACCTCAAGTTCATGTACCTCCTTGTCAAGTTGAGGTGGAGATTTTAGACTACAACCTGAACGTACTGAGTCCATACTGGAACGCAGCACAGTCGCCGTTTTCATCTTTTTAACTATATGGCTTGCAAGCATGTCGTCTGGGTCAGTTTCAATGTTATGTTTAGCTTGTTGTACAGTTGTGTTTATCTGGTTAAGGGCACCAAACATATCTTTTTTGAGAGCTGCAACCGTGTTAGCTATCACTTGCGCAGGATCTTCTTTCTCATCTTCTTGGTCACTGTGGTAGCGTTTTATAAGTTCATCAATAGTTGTCTATATGTAGCAAAATAACAAAAGGAATTCATATCACACTGTGCCAATACAATGCTCATTAACAGCTTGACAAATAATTGTTTCAATTGTGTGATACGGCGTAATGATCATTATTTCACACCTGCAGAGGCATATATATAACGTACCATTTATTGACATTTATTACAGGTTACCACTCTATATTGGCACTGTCTCTTATACACATCTAGATGTGTATAAGAGACAGCTCGTAGGCCTATTATGAACGTTGATAATAAAAATATTGTCGGGAAAGTTACTAAACATTTATAGTAGATATATAGCTTTTATAGGATTTTGAAATCGATTAAATTATAGAAAACATAATTAAATCCCCATTTCTTGGCCACGCTGGGGCCTTATGAAACGCCAGGTGCCCAGAAAAACATCCGGCTCCCCCAGTTTGTAACTTGACAAGTTTATTTTAAGCATAAAAATAATATTGCAACCATGGTCAATTATATTCCTATAAACACATAAATGAACAATATCCTGTTATTTTAATATTTAAATTTAACCTTTTATTAAGATCCCCAATTCTTAAATCCGAAATTCGAAAATTTAACATTGAAATCGCTGTCGCGATCGTAGTTTTATGATTGTACGGTACTATCAATGTTGTACGGTACTATCAT